ACTCAACAGGCACTGGCAACTGGGCGGGGCGAACTCGGACACCCAGTGGTATTGTCCGCCGGAGGTTGGGGCCCTATTTATCCAAAGTCAACAGCCGCTTTCTAGGAACAGCTACCATCATCAAAGCCCCAGAATAAAAAGATAGGAAAGAGAAGCTCGGTGTTCGAGGGTTATCACACATGGATGCCATCTCCGCCATGGAGAGAATTACGAAACTGAATCCGCAGAGGACACCGAGGTAGGTGTAAATCATTCCACCTTTTCCTCCATCTGTCAAGCCGTATGAGGCACCGCTATTCAATCATCAGTACCTATTTTAGGATTGCCTTCTTCGTATGATATTGACTTACAATAACACTGCCTCCCAGGTGCACATCAGCACGGCGCTGAAACCCAGCACCGAGAGGAATCGAAAATTGCGCTGTGCCAGTCAGCTAGGGAGCCGAAATTGGAGCCACCTCTCAAATGTCTACTCACATTCAACTCCTGGTCGCGTCCCACACGCCACATATCGCGGCCATCTTGAGTGGTTCCGCCCTTGGTGGAGGGCAAAGAGCCCTCCTCCGGCGCAGTGGTGTAGGCCGACTTACTCCCTTTCTCCAGCCACATCATAAGATTTGTCTTTGCTTGACATGTATTGCTCGATAAGATTGAACAAAAGTTTCGGCTGCCAAAAAGATGAAGGGGGGATCGGAGGGTTAATCAATACGTGGGACAGATGCAGCGTCACGGTCCTCTCTGCCGTGGCTCGCAAGACTAGCAGCAGTTAGCAGCATTAGTCCCCAAGCTAGAGATGGCACCGCCGAAGCACTTGCCAGGGACCCCGGTTAGACTGTAACCCGCCGTTACATCGTCCAACTGACAGGTTATTATCCTCTCAGACGAGGGACCGTGATCCCTGTCAGTTGGTTGTGCCCTCATCCCAGCCTTACCAAAGGAGGGCTGGTCACCGCCAGTCAGCACCGTAGCCATCCTTCCCTAAACCCTGGCCACGTCAGGCCTAATATAGAGTAGTCGTAACACTGAGAACCGGGATCGGATGGAAAAATGTCGTCTGGCTTTCATTTCCGACCGACGTCCAGGCGGAAAATTTGGGTGTGGTCGCTTCTGAGCCTGTTTCACCCTCTTGTCCTCCCCAGTCGACATTCCGACCAGGGTACCTGTTGATCCTAGGAATCACTTCCCTGTCCTCTGAAGCGCCTGATATATTATAAAGTAAGTCCCGGCAGGTTGAGAGCCTCAGCAATGCCTCTGTCCATCGTCCCGAATCCCCTCAAGCCTCACCCCGTCGACACATGGCGGCGCCTTATGGGATCAGCCCGACGGACCGCAGCGGGGTGATCGTCATCGCCGCAACGCTGTTCATGTCTTGGATGGTGCTGGTGTCCTTGTTCCGGGTCTATATGAGGGTTGCCATGAACGGACCAGCTGGATCGGATGATGTCGTAGTCTGGATCGGATGATGTCGTAGTCTGGATCGGTGGAGTAAGTAACCCTGACCTCATTGCCGCTCGGAATGCCTGAATTGATCGATCTCAATGAGACAGGCGATAGGAATTGGGAATGTGGGCGCTATTATGAAGGGTGTATCGCAGGGTCTGGGACGAATCAATCCGACCGACGAAGAGGGTGCCATGAAGGCAAGTTCTACCTTCTCATCGGGATGCGTCATTTGTCTTGGTTACTGACTCGGGGTTATCATGACAGGCTTTGTATACAGCCGATCTCCTGTTCCTCGCTAGCCATGGCGCCTCCAAAGTATCTGTCTGCCTCCTTCTTCGGCGCCTGGGCCGAGAAGGCGCCTATATACGACTCTGCACTGTGGGCCTCGCGGTACTCGTCCTCTGGTTCCTCGCTTCGCTTCTTGCAGTAGGACTTCAATGTGAACCTTCTCAGCCATGGAATCTCACGCAATGCCACTCTTTCGTCAGTTGCCTTTGCCACATTCGGATGATGACCAGAATACATGCTAAGAGAGCCAGGTTACGGGATGGCGTGCCATGACAGCGTTCGATGTGATCACAGAGGCCCTTCTGGTGGGCCTGAGTATTCGTTTGGTGTGGGGAGTGCAGATGCGTCGAACTCAAAAGGCTGGGGTGATAGGTGCCTTTGGCACTCGAATTTTGTACGTACACTCATTGCCTGTTGTTGCCGCGTATATGGCTAGGCCACATTAGCTGACCGCTGGCAAGGATTGTCGCCCTTATCATTGTGCGCCAATGTTACCTCAACCGGGTTGGGTTGAACAATATGCTGCTGGGCATATCGAATGTGGTGGTCGCCACCGAAGTACTCCTGCACAGCAGTCTCATGGCGGCGACGGTGCCCTGCCTAAAGCCGTTTGTGATCGCCTTCAACACGGGCTGGGGTCAGGGTGGCCAGAAAGATGGCTCCTATCTGCGGTCGGAAACCAGCGAGGGCCCTCCATTCAAGGCCCGATCGCGTCCATATCCGGCAGATGATGAGATTACCATGATCCCGACTGGGGGAGCGAGGGAGTGCGAGGAGAATCTGGAGGAGGCGAGCGGGGGGTTGGTGATCCACCAGACGCGCGAGTGGAGTCTACGAACCGAGTATATTGAGATGCAGCCGCTCAAGGGCCCAGAACCATTGTAAGAGAGCGATGGTGGTAATAGAACTACTCGGGTTAGCTAGATACATGAAGAATCCCACACTTTGCTAGCAACTACGCGGCATCACCATCAACGGGATCCCGCAGCATGGACATGGCGCCGGTCGGAGTCACCCCCGACACACTGACATCGCGAAACCCAAATCGCTGGTAGATCCGGGCCCCTTCCTGACTGGAATCCACCCAGATGGGGATCCCGTCCTGATCGGCACGGTCACATCCCCACTGGATGAGCATTGATGCCGCTCCCTGCCGGCGATAATCCGGGTGGGTGATCAGGGCATCCAGATCTGGAACATGTCATCATTAGCGGGCGCATCACCACAGGCGCGAGGATGTCAGAGAATAGAAGCAAGAAGACAGAATATCGAGGAAAGGAGCATACAATAGTGCGGGCGCGAGCCCATCATGGTCTGTCGCGCCTGGTCCAGCCCCCCGAAGAACGTGTCGCAAAAGACCTGGTCGAAATCGACATGGCGCGGGGGAAAGTGGTGACCTGGAGAGGTGGTGTTGAGGTCCCATTTCACGAATGCTACGAGGGGAGAGGTCGACCCGGTACTCTCCGTGACAACTTTAAGATAGTGTTGATCAGGAGATTGCAGACTGGCACGGTGGTAGTCCTCTAGCCAGGAACGCGCCCCGGGGGTATCGGGATACAGCCGCCGATTGATGGGGTCACCAAAGGTGTCGTACCACAAGTCGACCATAGAGGAGAGGTCAGCCTCTGTAACGGGGAGGAGTTGTAACATGGTAATGATGATAGGACTAGTAGTGCTACTACCAGTTGCTTGCTCGGTTCGGAGTCGGGAATGTGAAGGATGATTGGAAATGATGAAGTTAATTGAACTACTACTACACCCGGCTGCTACTTGTAAGCGTGACCCCGGGGGAATATATATTTACTACGGTTACTACTAGTACTAGTGGAACTAACAGACCCCGTCTTTGCCAGCGTGGGGAAGTCAGCGCGGGCTGAAATGATGGACGACTCAAGATATGAGCATAAACTAACACCGACGCCACTTCTTAGTAGCACTACTGGTAGAGACACTGCTACACAACAGTTGCTGGTTCCCTCAGTTCATGTTTAGTTAGTACTTGAATGTACGCACCGTCGAATTGACGTCCTCTAAACATTGGCAGGGTCACCATTGTGTGCAAGCATCATCTGGAGTCCAGCAATTACTGGTCGCAGAGAAAAAGAATATATATATCCATTTGTAACAGTGTGTGATTCACAAGGAAAGCGTCGGGAGATATGGTCAAGGGATGGTGGATGGAGATGGATGTGACCTCCTCGGAGAATAAATAGGGAAGAGAAATGAGGAGGCGGTGGATGGATGCCTGATTCCAGGCTGCCACATGTCATGCCTGAGGCATGAAGCCAATATATATCATGTGACCCAAGCAATTAAACAAACAAGACAAACTATAACGTGACCGAGCATTATCACGTAACTTCCAAGCTAATCCCTTTTGAGGCTTCTTGGCGTCGAGTAATTTCCACTGGGACTCAAAACATAATAAACCCTCTCTTGGGGCAGTTCTTTGCAATGTCTCACTGTCAGACTGCCGGTACCACTTTTCTCCCTCTACCAAGCAAGCCTTGAATAATATAGGTCAGGGCCGTTCATGGGACCCTAACCTCCACCCCCCTTCGGAAGCCAGCCGGATTGCTTCTAAGACATCCTGAAGTGGACCACTATCCTCTTTCTCACCATTCCTATGCTCCGCCAAGCAGACCTCGTTTTTCACCGGAGTTCCCGGGTCCGCCCTGAACCCAAGGTCTGCTTGGGAAGAGAATTCCGACTGTCATCTTAACGGCATCTAGGCAGACAAGCTTTATCGCAGGCTTTTCATTCCTGACTTGTTCGGCCATTCGCATTATAAACGTCATGACTCGTAGACCCAAGAAGATGAAATTGGAGATGTTGGTTCCGCGAGTCCGGCGATATCTGGGCAGCAGTAGCGCTACTTTAACATCGTAAAAACCTAAGCCACCACACCCACTGACAGGTTAATCTCCGGTAGAAGAAACCAAGACCTGCCTGCCAAGCCACATAGATTGGGTTCTCATCCATTTCAGGTCCTGTCCCCGGGTCCCTCGTCTCATTCCAGAACATGGTTGAGGGGACCAAACGGCGCCGGTCTGACTGCCCGCTCCACCATCATGTGTTCCAGCTTGTATATATACCTGGAAACGTTTCCTCTCCAATACCATCCAGAAGAAGACATCACCTTCCTTTCTTTCTCTAACACGCCTGTCACTCTTTCCAGGCTGTCATTCTTTGATAACACCCAAGACCTTCATTCTTTCGGATTTTTCTTTTTGTTTTCCTCCATATCTTCTATACTTTGACAGTCCAACATGCACTACAAGCTGCTTTTCGCTGCTGCCGCGGCATCCCTGGCCAGCGCTGTCAGTGCCGCTGGCGTTGTAGGCGCCGCCGAGGGTTTTGCTCATGGCGTCACTGGCGGTGGCAGCGCTTCCCCCGTCTATCCCACGACTACTGATGAGCTGGTCTCTTACCTAGGAGATAATGAGCCTCGTGTGATTATCCTGGACAGAACGTAGGTCGATCCGTTGATTTGGGATACAGGGGTAGACAATTGTCTGATATGTTGATCTTTCAGCTTCGACTTTACCGGCACCGAGGGTACCGAGACTACCACCGGATGTGCCCCCTGGGGAACTGCTTCCCAATGCCAGGTGGCGATCAACCTGCACAGCTGGTGCGACAACTACCAGGCCAGCGCCCCCAAGGTATCCGTGACTTAGTATGTTGCCCCCGTTCGATTGATGCCCAGACGCTTGCCATGCTGATAGCCGTATAGTGACAAGGCCGGTATCCTCCCCATCACGGTCAACTCCAACAAGAGTATCGTTGGACAGGGCACCAAGGGTGTCATCAAGGGCAAGGGTCTCCGCGTGGTCAGCGGCGCCAAGAACGTCATTATCCAGTGAGTGCGGACCATCGGTCGTAGGATGTGAATCCACCCTTGCTAATAACGACCAGGAACATTGCCGTCACCGACATCAACCCCAAGTATGTCTGGGGTGGTGATGCCATCACTGTCGATGACTCTGATCTGGTCTGGATCGACCACGTGACAACTGCTCGCATTGGTCGCCAGCACATCGTCCTGGGCACCAGCGCCGACAACCGCGTCACCATCTCCTACTCTCTCATCGATGGTCGTTCCGACTACTCTGCCACCTGCAACGGTCAACACTACTGGGGCGTGTACCTGGACGGCAGCAACGACATGGTGACCCTCAAGGGCAACTACTTCTACAACCTGAGCGGCCGCATGCCCAAGGTCCAGGGTAACACTCTGCTGCACGCCGTATGTAGTCTTTACCCCCTGTACCATCTGCACATTGCTGACTACTATGCTGACAGGTGAACAACCTCTTCCACAACTTCGATGGCCACGCCTTCGAGATCGGCACTGGTGGCTACGTCCTGGCCGAGGGTAATGTCTTCCAGGACGTCAACACTGTGGTAGAGACCCCCATCAGCGGCCAGCTCTTCAGCTCCCCGGACGCCAACACCAACCAGCAGTGTGCCTCCGTCTTCGGCCGCTCCTGCCAGCTCAACGCCTTCGGTAACTCCGGCTCCATGTCCGGATCTGACACTAGCATCATCAGCAAGTTCGCTGGCAAGACCATTGCGACGGCTCACCCCCCGGGTAACATTGCCCAGTGGACCATGAAGAATGCTGGCCAGGGAAAATAAGCATGGACGGAGATACATTTTCATATGCAGAAATGGCATAATATGTATTTTAGGTTTAGTATCAGAAATACTGCCCCGGCCTGGGATGTAGTGGACTAGAGTGCACAACAAATGAGTGCCACAATGTATAAGGCCTTTATTACCATATGAATCGCTCCCGCCGTCTAAATATATACACGTACCATGGATACCCAAATAGGAATCTAGAAGAGTTATCTTGCAGCCAGAGCCTTTCTCAGCAGCATTGACGTACCTCTCTCTTGACCGGAAAGTGAAGGACACCTATCGCATCTGTCACCGATTTGGGGATGACATGAATGATTCGACCAGGCAGAATAGGTCACTCCGGCATGAGTGTCTGGTCTAACGCATGGCAGAATTAGTTATGGGCTTTAGGATGGATGAATCGTCTAGCTGCCCTTTCGCCGAAGCACTGCTCCACAGACGGACATATAACCAATCACCGACCGAGCACACCGAGGTTTGTTGGTCATCAACAACATGCTTCCATGATGTGCTAAGTACCCATGGTGTGCTAAGTGCTAGTAGTAAGAAATACCTCCGAATGCTCATTTTGTAGTCGGCCTAGAACGGGGAAGATGTCCATAAATTGAATAATCGCCGATTTTGCGCTTCTTAAAAGATATTTACACTGACACCCGAAATCAGTCACCTCGGTCTCCCATTAGGTCGATAGCTTTCGTTGGAAATTCCTCCAGCGTAATACATGCCAGAGTGATTTTCCTCTCCAGTCTCGCTTGCAAAAGTACCATACCATTCCCTATTCTTGCCATGAAGGCTGAGACAGACGAGTCTGCGTCTCCTCCGACAATCGTTGAAACTACGATGCGGCACGGATATCCCGAAGGCGGACTCGAAGCCTGGTTGGTGGTGCTTGGAGCATGGTGTGCGATGATCCCTTCCATGGGATTGCTTAATTGCCTGGGTATTCTCCATGCATGGACGAGTAAGCACCAGCTCCAGGACTATTCCGAGTCCAGCATTGGCTGGATATTTGGCGCGTACAGCTTCTTCTTGTATGCTGCTGGCGCGCAAACCGGTTAGTAAAGTCTCCAATCACCTTGGATTCTTGTGGCTGCTGATAAATAGCAGGACCAATATTGGATATCTATGGACCCAGCTATGTTATTCTTCCAGGGTCAATCGGCATGGTTATAGCACTGATTGGCTTTAGTTTCAGCCAAGGTTGAGAGCACATGTTGTCCGTACAGCAGTGGTACAGATAATGCTGACTTGTTGCGATAGAATTCTATCAGATATTCCTCTCATTCAGTGTCCTTGGTGGCCTATCTGCATGTGCCCTCTTTATTCCAGCCGTTTCCTGCATTGGGCACTGGTTCAACGTGCGACGCGGATATGCGACCGGCATCGCCTGCACTGCCGGGGGTATTGGAGGAGTCATATTCCCCGTTATTATCCTTTTTGCAGCACCCAGAATTGGTTTCCCCTGGGCAATGCGTATCATTGCACTTATCAGTGCCGTTCTTTTACTGATATCATGTCTGACGCTGAAAACACGGGTCCTGAATGAGAAAAGCGTTGGCGCATCCGTCGACTTTCGCGCCCTGCGAGAGAAGAAATATGCCGCAACCACAATAGCGATCTTCCTAGTGGAATTCGCCGTCTTCATACCGATTACCTACATCTCATCCTACGGGGTTCACATTGGCATGGATGACACCCTCGCATACGCGCTAAGTATCTTTCTCAATTTAGGCGCTGTCCCAGGACGGTTCCTCCCGGGCTTAGTAGCAGATCGGCTCGGAAGGTTCAACGTGATGGTAGGAACTTCGGTCATCTGTGCGACGCTTACCATGGCATTATGGCTTGCATCAGGGGCGAATATGCCCGCAGTAATTTGCTATGCGGTATTGTTCGGCTTTTGGAGCGGTGCTGCTATCAGTCTCACCCCCGTGTGCATTTCGCAAGTCTGTAAGACGGAGGATCTAGGGAAGAGGAGCGGGACGACATTTACGATAGTCAGTGTGGGTACATTGACGGGCATCCCGATCGCGGGTGCTATCCAGCAACAGAATCACGGGGAATATTGGGGCATGATTGTCTTCGGAGGAGTGTTGTATGCGGTCTCCGCGGTCGCTTTTGCTGTTGCCAGGGGCATTTGTGCGGGCTGGAAAGTGAAAGCCAAGTTCTAAAGCCTGCGATAGACCAGTGGGACACATACGTGCTACCGGAAACACCAAACGATGTACTATCTCTTGTCAGGTAGGGGTGCGTCTGGGTCCACCGACAATATAATTAGATAAAGAAAAATCAAAGTAAATTACATTCTCATGTTAATGGCTCTTTTCGCGTCAATTATTGAGAGCAGCGACCACCACAGTTGTTGTGCTTAGGAGCAGTCTAAGAGGGGAACCCTCGGCGAAGTCAACATTGAGGCCAAGAATGCTTCTCTAGGAAATGAAATCGGCGAAATGCAGGTACCCCATCGCCGCACTCTTCCAAGAAGGATGCAACTATCTCGGCTGTCGGCCACTCAATTAGCCAGGTGGCTTGCTCGAAAAGGTTTTCGATTCAGTGCATGAGGGAGCAGAACCGAAAGATAAGGTGCTTGATGCCTGAACGGCAAGTGCCGTAGATATAACCCCTCGGTCTTATATTTGGTATATATAAAGTATTCCTGGTCCCTCGTGCTGTTTGTGACCCTCACCGGGCAATGCATTGCATATTTACCTCCACATCATGGATTGGAGACAGAAAGTGACCGGCCTCAAAGCCAGACTATCTTGTCGTTCCACAGCTGCTGTGGACAGGGTGGACGAATCACGCAAGAGAGACGCGCAGCAAAGTACACCATCCACTGCCACACCGACGACCAAGTGAGCACCCGAAGTCTCCGATGTTAGAAACCCTCTGCTGACTTCAATCATTCAGTGATGAAACAGTCATGCCTCCGACATATAGTGAGAGCTGCGAAGCTTCCACACCATCCTACTCTCATTTCTACAATGGTACTCGAATCACCGCCACACATAGCCGATAACCCTTACAATTGCCACACAAGAGCTAACGCGGAATAGGGGATCAATGCTTTGGATCTTGTTGTAGGGGGAATGGATACCGCTGGTAATGGTCAACTTGAATTTCATGCGAGATTCTTGATATACTTACCGACCGGTTCAATGCTTTCCTTTCGCTGATCGACGATTGAGGGAGGGGGTAGGTATTGAAGTACCATATTGCGAGATTTCGGTGGAATTTAACGTTCTATTGGCCTACTGGAGTATTTTTAACAATTAAAGAGAGGAGCATACGATTGAAATAACAGCATCAACGGCGTGAAGCTGTCGTAATAGTAGTGGTAGTAGTAGTAGGAATAATAGTGGCGGTGGTAATGTGCGCCTTCCGGCGACACTCGGGCCAAACCCATTCGGCGGTGTCATTTGGGCGGGTAACGAATCAGACAAGGCATTCGGCGAACTTGTCGGCCAACTCGTTCTTGGCCGCTGTCGAATTGACTTCGGCGGATTAGTTAAGTAGCCCTTTAAACCCCAGCGGCGATTATCGACGTTGCTGACCTTCTACAAAGTACTGCTCCAAGAAAACGTCATTTTCAATCCGCAAATCATCGGCCGACCGACTGTCGCATGGCGTCAAATTCACCGAATCCAACAACTCCCCACCAATTCCACACTCGCTCGCCACCTCCTACCATTCGCCCCTATAGATCAAAACGACACCCCCCATGTGACGGATGCCGACGGAGAAAAGTACGCTGTGAAGCCGATCATCATGGCAGCTGTCAGCGCTGTTTAGCTGCGGGTCAGTATTGTTCCTTTACTCGTCTTCGCCCTCGCCCTCGGCCTCACTCTCGTCAGGGCACTGTGCCGCCGAAACCACCTTCACCAAAAACCCGACCGGTCGCAACAAGCAACTTGCAAGCGACCGAGGATCTGGTGGTGGACCAAGAAGATCCCCCAGTTGCGCATCAAGCAGTCGATATCCCTTTCTTCGAGCTAGACACGGTGAGAATCTCTGCAGATCCAGGCGGCACTCGCCCGCACACGCCTTCTGCCTTCAAAGAAAGACACACGCATCAGACCATCCAGACACTTGATGGTTTGGCGGGTGTATCCTACCAGGTCAATGGCGCGTCAGCCGAATCTGACCCATGGCTTCTCAGACACTGCAAATTCAACGACAGAGGCTTCCTCTCTTTCCACCAAGTGCACTTCCGGAACGCAGGGGGCGTTCCGTTTGACGAGAAGATTCCCTGCCATTTTTTGGTCTCTTCAGATCAGCTCTATGAGTCTTCCAAGGCTCAGCTGCTTCCGCCAGACCCACTGAACACACATGAGCAATTAAACCACATTGTTCCCCCCGAATGTGGCCAGAGATTGGTAGTGCTGTAAGCTGACAAGAATACCACCGTTGATGCGCTCTGTGGTTGACATGATATGCCTTTCTCTCCAGCTTTATGAAATTTATTTTTCCCACGCTGCCGATTATTTCGCGGTCACACTTTGGGCTTGCAGCAGCAGGCACGGTGCCCGACCAGAGTATCCTTCAAAGGACACCCTTGTGTCTTTTGGCTGCAATCTACGCATCAGCACAACCTTTCGCCAAGTTTGATAACTATCTCTGCTTGATCGATGCGTACGCTCCTCCCCCGACTGATCTGCTCTGGCGCATGGTTCTTGACCTTCTGCTACGGGACATCCACACTGCCCGTCTTTCGACCCTCCAAGCAGGAATTCTCTACCTTCACAGACCAATCAGCGCCACTGAAAGTGCTGTAGCTGATAGTCCCTTCACCTGGTCCTTGGTGGGCATGCTTGTCGGCGTTGCCATGTCGCTTGGGCTTCAGTTGGATTGCCGGCTCATGGGACTTCCATTATGGGAAAAGAGGATTCGTCGTCGCCTCTGGTGGGCCATCTACGCCGAAGATAAGTGGCGTTGCTTGCTTATTGGGCGTCCATCTTACATAGGAAGCGACGATTGGGACGCCACAGATCTGAGCG